AGGAAAACATACTCGTAGTGGTCCTTTAAACATACTATAGTGGTCCTTTAAGTCTGTTTTTTCCAACTAGACATTTAGGCGACATTCCCCTTTTCCTCTCTGGTAGTTCTACTCATTTATACAGGGAGTGCAGAATTATTAGGCAAATGAGTATTTTGACCACATCATCCTCTTTATGTATGTTGTCTTACTCCAAGCTGTATAGGCTCGAAAGCCTACTACCAATTAAGCATATTAGGTGATGTGCATCTCTGTAATGAGAAGGGGTGTGGTCTAATGACATAAACACCCTATATCAGGTGTGCATAATTATTAGGCAACTTCCTTTCCTTTGGCAAAATGGGTCAAAAGAAGGACTTGACAGGCTCAGAAAAGTCAAAATAGTGAGATATCTTGCAGAGGGATGCAGCACTCTTAAAATTGCAAAGCTTCTGAAGCGTGATCATCGAACAATCAAGCGCTTCATTCAAAATAGTCAACAGGGTCGCAAGAAGCATGTGGAAAAACCAAGGCGCAAAATAACTGCCCATGAACTGAGAAAAGTCAAGCGTGCAGCTGCCACGATGCCACTTGCCACTTGCCACCAGTTTGGCCATATTTCAGAGCTGCAACATCACTGGAGTGCCCAAAAGCACAAGGTGTGCAATACTCAGAGACATGGCCAAGGTAAGAAAGGCTGAAAGACGACCACCACTGAACAAGACACACAAGCTGAAACGTCAAGACTGGGCCAAGAAATATCTCAAGACTGATTTTTCTAAGGTTTTATGGACTGATGAAATGAGAGTGACTCTTGATGGGCCAGATGGATGGGCCTGTGGCTGGATTGGTAAAGGGCAGAGAGCTCCAGTCCGACTCAGACGCCAGCAAGGTGGAGGTGGAGTACTGGTTTGGGCTGGTATCATCAAAGATGAGCTTGTGGGGCCTTTTCGGGTTGAGGATGGAGTCAAGCTCAACTCCCAGTCCTACTGCCAGTTCCTGGAAGACACCTTCTTCAAGCAGTGGTACAGGAAGAAGTCTGCATCCTTCAAGAAAAACATGATTTTCATGCAGGACAATGCTCCATCACACGCGTCCAAGTACTCCACAGCGTGGCTGGCAAGAAAGGGTATAAAAGAAGAAAATCTAATGACATGGCCTCCTTGTTCACCTGATCTGAACCCCAATGAGAACCTGTGGTCCATCATCAAATGTGAGATTTACAAGGAGGGAAAACAGTACACCTCTCTGAACAGTGTCTGGGAGGCTGTGGTTGCTGCTGCACGCAATGTTGATGGTGAACAGATCAAAACACTGACAGAATCCATGGATGGCAGGCTTTTGAGTGTCCTTGCAAAGAAAGGTGGCTATATTGGTCACTGATTTGTTTTTGTTTTGTTTTTGAATGTCAGAAATGTATATTTGTGAATGTTGAGATGTTATATTGGTTTCACTGGTAATAATAAATAATTGAAATGGGTATATATTTGTTTTTTGTTAAGTTGCCTAATAATTATGCACAGTAATAGTCACCTGCACACACAGATATCCCCCTAACATAGCTAAAACTAAAAACAAACTAAAAACTACTTCCAAAAATATTCAGCTTTGATATTAATGAGTTTTTTGGGTTCATTGAGAACATGGTTGTTGTTCAATAATAAAATTAATCCTCAAAAATACAACTTGCCTAATAATTCAGCACTCCCTGTAGATACTTACCTTTATTTAACATTGTTTCAGATATTAGTATAATCTCTGATAGCTGCTTTTCTTCAGCCATTTGTTGTTATGAAAAGCAACTAATTCATTTAACCAGGAGTCAATACAACTGTAACAATTTTTTGTTACATCCTGGTAGACACCTAACATGAATCTCCTTTACATACTAAATTTTTACAAATCTTTTGTTACTACTCTTCCTGTATATATTTATCCCCTGTATATATTTCTTTAACCCCTTGTATTTCTGTGTCTTTAGGATATTTATTCATTTTTTAACAATACTGATTAAACATTATATTTTATGTGTAAAATTTATTTAGGAATTTATCTTTACTAGCACAGATTATGTTCTCTCGCTCTCTACATGTTGGCAAGACATATGGAAAATAAATAATGAAAAATGACCTTAGACTGCATCACCAATAAAAAACATGCACAGTTTACTGGAATACATCTGAAATATGTACAGATATCAGGTATAACATCTACATGTCTCTAATAGGGTGATATCAATCATAGATTACAAAATGTATCACAATGGATTTATAACCTCAAAACTGTGTACTATTATTTTGAATTAATACTTTTTTATTAAATTTTATCTAGGGTTGATAACTGTCCAAAAGAACAGGAGCTTCAGCCCCAAGAAATATTTAGCAGACCCACTATTTTACCTTAAGCTCACCCAATGTTGTGCCCAAGCTTCCGTCAATGCTGCGCACCAAACTCCACTGTAAACTATTTTATATATGTATAAATACATATATACAGTGTAGAGTAGCTTGTCAGTAAGAGCAAAAAAATAAACCACTGTGGTACTCCACAGAAGTGGCCAAAATAATAAAAAACTAAATGTTAGCATTAAGTAATAAAAAAAAACCCAGAGTGAGGAAGATAGACAGATCTATAAGATTATCCAGAAAGAGGCTAAGCAAGTTATAAGAGCTTCCAAATCACACACAGAAGAGAAAATAGCACAGTCAGTTAAAAAAAGGGGGACAAAACATTTTTTAGATACATAAATGAGAAGGATTTATGTTATGATAAGGATTTATTATGTTATGATAAGGATTAGTTAGATTAAAAACGAAGGAAGGAGGGCGGGGCCTGACCTCGGAGCAGAGCAGCCACACGGTATCACAGCTCCTGCTCCCGGGGGCAGTTTTTACCCACTTACCGACCGAAACAAGCTCCCATTGACCCAAAGCCTGCTACCGGGAACCAGGGGATAGCATAAGCTACCCACTCATGCCAAACACAACAAATTTCTTGCCAGCTCCTACCACGCGGCCTACAAGCCTGGCCAGCGCGGGAGAGGCGGCAAGCTCTCCTGCCACTGCAATCAACGAAGACTCTCAGAAAGGGCACCCGTTCTCCCCCCCCTGCCCCCAGACCAGTGCGGGTTATCCCGGTCCACACGGAGACAAACATAAACTCACCACACAAACTCGCTTGGTTTAAGCAGCACCCACGCGGCCCAAGATGGCACCCAACAACCCAGTCACTCAGCGGGGTGAAGGGGTACTCGCCCTGGACTGGGAAACTTGGTTCCTGAAGACATTTGATGACATCTGCCAGCAGTTCTGGAGGAGAGTGGAGGTGCGGAGTCGGCAACCGACTATACCTGCTCCCAAGACGCAACAGACAGGCAGAGCTCTGGCACGGCACCCTACTCCCAAGCGGAGGATCAAGTGGCCCCGAACATCAGCCTGTAGAAAGCGTAAGCGGAGGATACACCGCCGCCCAAGACCACGGGACTTACACCCCATGGCGGACCCCTCCAAGAACAGCATAGGACCCCAGCATGATCCAGGTTGGAGAGGGTGAGAGAGCATGGAACAATCAAAGGCCCACTGGCAACACCCACTGCCTTACACTACCACACTTAGGGGCAGACATGCTCCATCCGCAGGTAACGGCTAAAGCAACCGGCTGACAGACAGCAGGAACTCCACAGACCTAATGGTCTCACGGGACAATACCCTGCCAGCACTACACTCTGGGTCGGACTCCAACTCCTATGACTATTGACCAGTGGCCAACACACAGAGTATTGGTTACCCCTTGGCCCCCACAGGGGTGTCTCCCACAGAGTTGAACTATACTAATCTATGTTTCAATCTGTATCTTGCTCAGTAACTTATGGCACCTCGTGTACTTAACTGCCTAGCTTCTTTGCTCTGCCTAGTCTACTACATATGACAAACTACTACTTGTCCCACCATACTAGCTTGACTCTTAACTCCTGACATCCAGGTCTAGCATAACATATATGGCAAGCGCACAGCTCACAGCTTTATTCACCTATGCATTGTTTCCTGTACAACGAGCGCTGCCTCTAACATGCCTTTAAAAAATAAAAAATAAACGAAGGAAAGTATGTAGAAGAGGATAAAGGTCTAGCTGACTGCCTCAATTAATATTTTGATTCAGTATTTACAGATGAAAATGTAGGAAAGGGTCCTCAGTTAGGAAAAAGGACAAATTAGTAATTTGTTACATGTGAGTTTACAGAGGAAGAGGTTCTATTTCAACTGTCAAAAAAGTAAAGACAAATTGTTGATGGGGCCTGATGGAATTTGCTCAAGGTTATTAAAAGAGCTTAGTGGTGTACTTGCAAAACCATTAACAGAGTAGTCCCAGAAGACTGGAAATTAGTGAATGTTGTGCCCATTTACAAGAAAGGTAGTAAGGAGTCGGGCAACTATATGCAAGTAAGCCTTACTTCACTAGTGGGAAAGAAATGGAAACTATGTTAAAGGATAGGATTGTTGAACATCTAAAATCACATGGATTTCAAGATCAGAGACAACATTTCAGGGGTTATTTCAGGGAGATCATGCCAAACTAATCTTATTGATTTTTTTGATTGGGTAACTAAAATAATAGATCAGGGTGGTGCAGTGGACATTGCTACCTAGATTTCAGTAAGGCTTTTGACACTGTTGCACATGGAAGCATGGGTGTCCGCAGGAATTTTTCCAGGGGGGGGCATAATTATAATGACATCAATGCTTGGCCCCTTTTTGACAGTGTCATGAAGGGGAGGAGCATAGTCATTATCACATAAAGCCAGGGTGAATAGCGTTTTCACAACTATGGTGTCAGGAATACATGTTTGTATTCCTGACACTATAGTGTTCCTTTAAGCAAATTAAAGGAACATTCTGGTCACCATAACAACTTCATCTAAATGAAAATGCTATGATGCCAGGAAGCCCCTGGGTGCTCTCTTTCCTTTAAGGGGTTAAACTGCTCTCAAATGGTTTAATCCCAAAGGCTTCCTCCAGCTCCAGGTCACTCAGTGGTATTCGGCATCTGAAACAGAGTGTCAGGAAGTGCAGACTGACGTCAGGCATGGGTGTTGCTGATTAGCTAGAGTGGACAGTTGACGCTCTAAGCCTATCGCTAGTTCCCAATTCATAAAAGGTTTTTACTTTTTTATGAATGGGGAGCTACTGATTGCCTTAGAGTGCCAGCTGACCGATCTAGTCAATCAGCAACACCCCTACCCAGTGGCACTCAGTAAATAAAAGTCAACACATTAACACTGATATTTTTTTTTACCTGGGGAGATGAGAAGGTCCAGAGTTTCCTGATGTGGTGTCCAGAATAAAGTGGAGGGTTCACTTCATTTGTCCTTTCTGCTCCAATCTCATTTTCTTATCCTTCATTTGACAGTCTTCTTTTTCTTCTGACACTGTCTTCCATATTTCGCTCCTTCTGCTCCTTTACCTTTCTGCTACTTGCTGCTTATTTTGCGCCCTTCTGTTCCTTTCTCATTCTGATTCCTTTCTGCTCCTTGCAGACCCTTTCTGCTCCTTCTCCTACTTTAGCTTTGTGCTCCTTGCTGTCCCTTTCTGCTCCTTCTCCTACTTTACCTTTGTGCTCCTTCTGATTCTTTGTGCTCCTTTACCTTTGTGCTCCTTCTGTCCATTTCTGCTCCTTGCAGACCCTTCCTGCCCCTTGCTGCCCCTTGCTGCCCCTGCTCATTGCATACCCTTCCTGCTCCTTGCAGACCATTTCTGCTCCTTGCTGACTCTTCATTTAGGCTGCCCCCCACCTCCCATGCCTCACTTCCCTAATCTATAAACTGCCCCCCATGCCTCACTTCCCTAATCTATAGGCTGCCCCCATGCATCACTTCCCTAATCTATAGGCTGTCCCCCATGCCTCACTTCTCTAATCTATAGGCTGCCCCCCATGCCTCACTTGCCTAATCTATAGGCTGCCCTCACTTGCCTAATCTATAGGATGCCTCCCCCCATGCTTCACTTGCCTAATCTATAGGCTTCCCCCCCATGCCTCACTTGCCTACCTGTGCTTCCCCCATGCATCACTTGCTTCCACCCAGCTGCCCCCCATGCCTCATCACTCTAATCTATAGCTGCCCTTATGCCTCACTCTGCTCAATCTATATAGGCTGCCCCCCATGCCTCACTTCCCACCCATAGGCTGCCCCCCAAGCCTCACTTCTGCTCAATCTGTAGGCTGCCTCCCTCATTCCTCACTTCCCACCCATAGGCTGCTCCCATGCCTCACTCTTGCTCAATCTATAGGCTGCCTCTCCTCATGCCGCGAGACTTGCTCACCCATAGGCTGCCCCCCATGCCTCACTCCTGCTCAATCCATAGGCTGCCCCAATGCCTCACTTTCCTAATCTGCAGGCTGCCCCCATGCCTCACTTGCTCAACCTATAGGCTGCCCCCATGCCTCACTGCCTAATCTATAGGCTGCCTCATGCCTCACTTCCCCACCCATAGGCTGCCCCCCATGCCTCTACCTGCCCAATCTGTGGCTGCCCCCTCTTACCTCACTTCCCCACCCATAGGCTGCCCCCATGCCCTCACTTGCCTAATCTATAGGCTGCCCCCTCTCCTCATGCCGCACTCTGCTCAATCTATAGGCTGCCCCCATGCCTCACTCTGTTTCCAATCCATAGGCCGCTCCCAATGCCTCACTTTCCCACCTGTAGGCTGCCCCCATGCCTCACTTGCCTAACCTATAGGCTGCCCCCATGCCTCACCTCGCTCTAATCTATAGGCTGCCCCCTCATGCCTTACTTGCCTACCTATAGGCTGCCCCATGCCTCACAATTTGCCTAATCTATATGTGGCTGCCCCCCCTAGCTCCTCACTTGCCTAATCTATAGGCTGCCTCTATGCTCTCACTTCTGCTTCCAATTCTATGTGCTCGCCCCCCATGCCTCACTTGCCTAATCTATAGGCTATCACTCCCCTCTATGCCTCACTCCTACCTAGGCTGCCCCCCCATGCCTCACTCCCCTAATCTATAGGCTATTTTAAACCCCCCCCCCCACCCCATCCCTCACTTACCTGATCTGTAGGCTGTCTCTGTTGCCTGCATGTGTTGCTCCCCTGTGGTTTCAGTCAGCAGAGAGAAGCAGGGATAGATGCAGCTTTCTATCCCTGTCTCTCTCTATACACATACCAGTATTGCAGTTCATTTTAAATCTCACACGAAAAATAGCAGAACAAGCTGAAAAATCCAGGGGGGTGGGGGGGAGTGCCCCCCTTGCTACCCCCTGCGGACACCCATGCATGGAAGGCTTATATAAACTTCAATCTTTAAATTTGGATTCCAATATTGTTAAATGAGTTAAGCAGGGGCTGAGTGACAGGCAACATAGGGTTTTAGTAAATGGAATATATTCAAAGCATGGTCTTGTCACCAGTAGGGTACCTCACAGACCCATTCTCTTTAATATTTTTATTAGTAATATTGCAGAAGGTCTTGATGGTAAGGTATGTCTTTTTGCTGATGATACTAAGATATGTAACAGAGTTGATGTTCCAGGAGGGATAAGCCAAATGGCAAATGATTTTGGTAAAGTAGAAGGTAAAATGGTCAGAGCTGGCAACTGACATTTAAGTCAAATATTTTTTATTAATGTTTTAAAATAATATAATATATCATACAACATTGTCATATATATGATGACTTATGAACCATTGTCAAAACTAAACAAACAATCAAATAAAATACGCATAAATATTATAAATATTTGTATATGAAATAAGTAAACTATGTAAAGAAATTTAAAAAAGTGTCAAGTAATTAATGACAACATAGTACTAAAAAAAAAAATCAGGAAGCAGAATATGTATTTAGTCAGGTGGGAACTTGGTTAAAGTCCAAATTTATTTTTCACATTGACTGGCCACTGGCATTTAATGTAATTAAGTGCAACTTGGATGTAAAAACCCAAAAGCAGAGTATAGAATATTAGGATAGAGTCCTAACCTCAACATCTGAGGAAAGCGATTTAGGGGTAATTATTTCAGATGACTTAAAGGTAGGCAGACAATGTAATAGAGCAGCAGGAAATGCTAGCAGAATGCTTGAAACATAGAAACATTGAAACATAGAATGTGACAGCAGATAAGAACCATTCGGCCCATCTAGTCTGCCCAATTTTCTAAATACTTTCATTACTCCCTAGTCTTATCTTATAGTTAGGATAGCCTTATGCCTATCCCACGCATGCTTAAACTCCTTTACTGTGTTAACCTCTACCACTTCCGCTGGAAGGCTATCCCATGCATCCACTACCCTCTCAGTAAAGTAATACTTCCTGATATTATTTTTAAACCTTTGTCCCTCTAATTTTGTCCTCTTGTTGTGGTAGTTTTTCTTCTTTTAAATATAGTCTCCTCCTCTACTGTGTTGATTCCCTTTATATATTTACATGTTTCTATCATATCCCCCCTGTCTCGTCTTTCCTCCAAGCTATACATGTTAAGATCCTTTAACCTTTCCTGGTAAGTTTTATCCCGCAATCCATGAACCAGTTTAGTAGCCCTTCTCTGAACCCTCTCTAAGGTATCAATATCCTTCTGAAGATACGGTCTCCAGTACTGTGTACAATAGTCCAAGTGAGGTCTCACCAGTGTTCTGTACAATGGCATGAGCACTTCCCTCTTTCTACTGCTACTACCTCTCCCTATACAACCAAGCATTCTGCTAGCATTTCCTGCTGCTCTATTACATTGTCTGCCTACCTTTAAGTC